CCCACCCACAGCAGCTGTAAGCAGGAACCTTTGTCTGTCCCTTCCCAAATCCTCCTGCAGCTTGGTATTTGGGTAGCTGCCATGGTGGACCACCAGCTCTAGGGCTCACTGCTCTACAGAAGGGCACCGTGTGTCTCCATGCACCATTAAAATCTCCTTTTCCACTATCAGCTGCTCCCAGCCGAGTCTATAGCTGCCCTTGGCCCCTCACCATGTCGTGGGTGGTCCAGCCATCTGCACTCACATCTGACATGTCAAGGGTGGCTCCCCACCCTTGGATACCTTTTAGCTCCTTGTCTCAGTAGCTGAGTGTGGGATATGTATATTATCAGATTACAGCTGAAGTGGTTGAATCTTTGGGTTTGCAAGTCTTCAGAGCTGATTTCACAGCATGTGTCACTATTTACTATATCGCTGTTTGGCCTCTGCATCATTAAACAGCCAACTTCCTTAAGGATAGCTTCCCCAGCACGTCCTTTGCAGTCTGACTGAGAGGTATTCACAGACTGTCCAATCTGGCAGCAGACGTTTCATGCCTCAGCACTCAGTAATTTGATATACAAAACAGCTTTGAGCAAGCTTCACCACTTCAGTCTGTAGCAGTTCAGATAGCTCAACAAAAACTGTATAGGCCATGCAAATGGCTGTTGTTTGCATGGGAAAGTCTCAGGTCTGTTCCACTTCACCTTCTTGGTTATTTCTTGGCCAAAGCAAGTTGAGAGAGACGTCTGGCAAAATTTAAACCGTTATGGTTTTTAAAGCAATTTTTTGTGTGTGTGTGACTTAAATCCTTTATGACTGAGGAAGCTGACCCTCTTATTTAGCTCTAAGTGTGTCAGTTCTACTGTTCTCAAAAGTTTTTTTGCCACTGGGTACTCTGAAGGGAGACTCTTCCTCCTATTCATGCTGCTTTTCATAGTTAAGGCAGTCCCATGCAGCTGGTGCTGGCTTTTACCTGGAGATTTCCTCACTATAGGTTCTATTCTTGAATTAGAATAGTGAAGGCCTTTACCCATTGCTTCTAGCTCTTTGCATATGTAGTTTGAGAGTGCCGTGGGCAGCTCTTCTTCTAAAAGCTCTTTGGGGTTATGGGGTCAGACAATATCCCCAAGGCACCTTGGCATAGACTGTAGAGGCCAGAATCATACGTGGACTGTAGGGATGATATGTTGCTCTGTCATTGTTTTGAGTGGTAGGAATAGCACAGGAACAGAGTAGGTCAGTATGCACCACTGCATGGCCCACCTGGACAGCACACCAGATGCACAGCACTGCACCTCCCAGGTTTGTGCATGTGGATGCATACAGACATATGGGTATCATACCACCTTCCCCCTCACCAGCCCTTCACCTGGGCACTCCTGTACAAGTAGCTGGAAATGGCAATGATGCTAGGAAAACTGCTACAGATACGTTACCAGGATGACAGTGTTCTGTGCCTTGGCTATAAAGTCAACGTTGATACCTCCAATCACCACCTTTAAGAGGGAAGAAAGAGGTAAAAATGGTTGGAAGTACTTGAGGAAAAAGTTTCCAAGTGTTCTTTGCTTCTCCTAGTCACTTTTTCCGCCCTCTTGAAAACTAATTTACAGTGGGAAGGCCTGTGCTTCTTTTGGATGGACAGACAGGTCTGTACCATCTCAACTAGAAAGAATCAAAATATGTTGCTTTCTGAATTATGTCTGCTCAGAGCCCAGCCCCAGCACAGCAGGTGGGATGTTATAGACATATACATGGGTGCTGGCAGTTTCTCTGTCTGGTGGTAGAGTAACATAAGAAGATGCACAGTTCTGCTCATGTCAGTGCCTTTGAGGCCATCTCTCTTGGGACAATTTCTGACATACCAAACCTCAGAAACACTCAAGAACTCCTGTGTAAAAAAGCAAATAAAATGGGAAAAAGTGAGCAGAAAATACAGTCATTTCTTGCAAGCTCACAGGAGAAATCGCTGTACTCAGTGACACTACAGAACACTGTCTTATTGTCCTACAAAGCCAGAAAAGCAGTACAGCTCCACAAACAGAAAGTTTCCAGAATCTTTAAGGTCACACAATTGTATTTTCTCACTTCTTCAGATGCTGGGTTATTGCCTCTGGAATAACTGCCCTCTTTTATGTTGACAAATCCTATTTCAAATGGGGTTTAGAAATTTTTTCATCTTTCTAAAGAGAGGAAATCTCTAAAAGACACACAAAATCCAAGATAGTGAATAGAGTATTAGGTTTATAATGGATTTTGTTTGGGATATGCTGTACCTCTTGTAATTTTGGCAATCATGAGCAGGAGGCCAACAAAAAAGAGATATTTATAAAACGTGTATGGCTCAGGAGCTCAAAATATCTCCCTCCACCCTCTTCCAGTACTACTCCTGTAGTCACAAGTTCCCTGGCACTGAGAGCAACACAGTTGAAGTTCTATGTAAAGGCACAGTAAGGGTGAAAAGGTGATTAAAGTTTTAATGGATCTGATGCTGTAAGACTTAATGGGATCAAGGCCACTGTCAGTGTTTGCTCCCTGTAAATATAGAGTGGGGAGGAGGAGAGAATGTTTATCTGAGAAAAATAAAAAAAATACTAAAGACAAAATGTCTGGCACTGTGAAGCAAGAAGATTGGTCTCTGGCCGAGTCACTTTTTACTTCTGGGAATAGATATAAAATTATCCTGTGCTATCAGCAGAGAGGCATTATGTGGAGGGCAGGAGGGGACTCACTGGCTGAGGTGGGGTTGTGTTCCCCTGCTGAGGCAGATTCCCCTTCCTTCTCGCTTTCTGTCGTTTGCTCAGGACCACTGCGATGCAGCTGCCCACTCTGGCATTGTTCTGGATCAGAGCAAGGTCTGTTTGGCATTTCTTTGAGGAAAAGAAAACATACCAGCAAGATTTACCTGTTAGAAGCCTATGTAGGAAGTGCCTGGAGGGAGAAAGCAGAAAATACATGCTGTGTGACTTGATAGATTTGGTCCCTCTATACCATAATCCTTTGGGGGCACATATACTGGATTACAGTATAGCATGAACACCCTGAATTTTAAAATTTCTTCACCTTCCCATGTCCAGAGAGAGGAAACCTGTCATCTCCATTTGACAGATAGGGAAAAGAGGTAAAGGCTTCACAGAGAAAAGAGAAGGTGAGGTACTTAACTAGAGCCGAGAATCTCAAAACTTGAGAGGATCTTGGCCAACTTTTCCAGAAAGCGGTGCCTACTGAGATTTTTGCCAAGTCTCTGTAAGCAAATTTTTCGCATTTTCACTGGGAGAAGACTATCAGAGGCTTTGAAAGCTCCACTTTGTGTCTCCATAGAGCTCTGGTATCCAAAAATGCCTTTACCAATCTGCCCTGACTGACCGGTTCTCCTAGAGGGCTGGCAGCAGAGCTTGGCTGTGAGCCTGGCTCTCCTATATCCTACTCTGGCACCCCAGCCAGCAGGTCTGCTTTTCTTTTATCTGTGCTCACCCAGAGGTCTTTTCCTTCTAAATTTCTCTTACTCTGCACCCACATGAAGAGCTGGGTAAGGCAGTGTGATGTACAGTGCAGTGCTCTGGTAAGCCCAGGTACCTTCCAGTGTGCAACCCCACCATGGGCAACAGTGTCCTAAGACTCCATCGTGGAGCAGGTAAGCTTGGGAATCGGATGCGAGGGATCTCTTTGGGCTCTGGAACACCTGCTGTCTGTGCTGGCCTCCAATTTTTTAATGCAAAAGTGGACGCAGACACTAAGGGTGGTCCTGAAAAAGCAGGATGAAGTCACTAAGCTCTGTGTTTGCACATACTGAAATGTTTGTTCCTTTGCTAGACTGTCAATAAAGTGACAGTATTTTCCACCATTATCAGAAGAGATATGAAGTACACTGGAGCATTTCCCCCCACCATTCAGTAAAAGGATACTGGAGTCCAGAGATTTCCCATCAGTTAATTCATTGAGCTTCTGTAGCATAAAAGGGGTAAGTTCTTTGCCTGTGATCCCTTTGGACCTGCAAATGTAAGGAAAATGCCTGCAGATGAGGAGGACTGAGCTGAAACAGCATCAGAGAAGCACTGCTGCCTGCAGATAATTTATCTCCATAACCACACACCATAAAAAGTCCCGTAAACAAGCTTCAAGTGAGATAAAACTACAGTTGAAAGCATGTTGTGGGCTCAACCCTGCCCAAGGTTAAGGTGTGCTATAGTGCCTGCAGCAGTGTCCCTGAAGCAGTTTGCTTCCCCAAGACCACCTGGTGAGAAAAGGGTAGGGCTCAGGTTGCTTCTCACCTGGCTTCACTGAGAGCTTGCTGGGTGGCCTCTTGGATGATCTGGCCTGAGGCAGCTCGCTCCTGGGGACAGGGCACCGCTATCAGCACCCCGCTGCTCAGGCCCAGCCCCAGAGCACTGTCTGGGAGAAGATGGGCAGATGTTAGTGGTTCTCCTTGGATAAATCAAATACTGAAGGAAAAGGACAGAGCAGAGTGGGTGTGGTCAGAGCTGGAGCTGGAAGGCCACAGTCTCTTCCATCTATCAATCAATCTACATCTGCTTATTTCTTTTGAGCCTGCCGTCACAATAAAAGGGGCAAAGTTGGTTGGTTTGTTGTTTGTTTGGTTTTTTTTAAGAAAACTGATTCCACTTCTAAAGGCCCAGAAGCCAGTTTTGTAAGCACATGAACTTGTGTTCTTTCCTATCGGTGTGAACAAAACGCGTATGGGCATGACAAGGTGGCTGCTGATAGCTAAAAAACTTGCTGTAAAGACAGAGTTTCCCTGCTCCTTCATTTTTGAAGCACAGAAGC